GAGGAGAGGAGAGGAGAGGAGAGGAGAGGAGAGGAGAGGAGAGGGAAGCTGCCTTTTCTTCCTTTGGGCTTGCTCTCCCTGCTCAGCCATGACAGAGGATGTTCATATCACCAGGTCGTTTGTGGGGAAGGTGGCCAGCGAGAGGGATGGGGAAGACACATATGCCAAAAGCACTGGCCACCCCCTGCCCGTGGATGCAGGACACAGCTCTGAGCCTGTGGGGCAGACACTAGGGTGCTGCCCATGTCTGTCCAGCCTTTGCCTGTGTCTACATCTTCTCAGCCACCCCTGTGTGCAGGAAAAGGGACATTCTCCCTCATGAAACCAGGATGCTGCGAGGTGGTCACAAGTATCCATTCAAGGTTTGATTTCAAGGCCCCGTGGTGCTCTGGTAGAAAAGGTGAACGCTGAGTGTCCTGCTCTGCCTGCATGGCAGATCTTGAGCCGTCTAACAAAATCAAATTTCCATCTTAAAAGCAGCTGTACAGGTTGTGCTGAAGGTGATGCTCAGCCAGTTTTGTCACCGAGGAGAGGGTGGCAGCACTCAGTAGTGTTTAAGAGAGACTGTCAGGTTGCCGGGACTGCCCGGTGCCATGGGGGACCAGGTGTCAAGCTCCTCACCAGGGTGAAGTGTGGACCTTCCCAGGAGCCCCAAGCCAGTCCCTGGACACACAGCGTTTTGGCAGGGGATGGTGCCAGGGCACAGGGCTGCGCTGCATCCCCAGCAGGACCGGTGAGCGGGCAGAGCAGGCACCAGGCAGCACCTGGTTAGATGGGAGGGCTCAGCCCCAGTCCTGGCCATCCCTCGCCGCAGGACAGAGCCCCGTCGACCCTCATTCTTAATTTTTTCCCCTGGAAAACCCTCCTGTGGGGGGAAATTTTGGAGGGCTGCATAGGCCAGCTCTGAGCAGCTCTGAGGCTCACTCAGCCACTCCACACCACCATCGCATCGCCTCCAGCTGCTGGAGCAGCTTTTTCCTGGGGATGCAGTTTGGGATGAGGGATTTCCTATTTTCTCCCTGTTGTCCCGGTGGATTTTCCCCCCTTCCTCCCAGGAAGTTTCCCCACAGGCATCACCACCTCCTCAGCGCCCCTGGGAAGCACCCGGCTTGGGCAGCACTGCCAGGATCAGGGGGGAGAGGGGTGGAGACAAAGTGGGGTGGAACCTGCCCTTTTTGGGGTGCGGGAAGGGTGAGCAGAGCTAGGAAGAAAACAGAAAAGGGATGTGGCAGCGCCTCATCGCTTTCCCATCGCTGTGCGCCGGGTGGAGGAGGCTGCCCAGCCCCGGCAGCAGCGGAAGGAGCTGGGGACCCCCCCTCAGGGGGCTACTGAAGGGGGTGCTGGCAGGGCTGGGGGTGACCCACCAGCCCCAACCTCCCCCCGACAACGTCCCTGGGAGCAGCTGGTGGTGAGGGTGGTGGCGTGGGGCAGACCCTGGACCGCCCAGGACCGGTGGCACATCGGGTCTGGGAGATCCCACAGGGACAGGGGGTCCCCGGGGTGGAGAGGGGGAAAAGAGACACCCCCGGGGGTGATTTGGGGCTCCCTGCGGCTCTGGGTGTTCGAATCCCCCCGGCCCTGGTAAGCACTGAGGGAGGAGGAGGAGCCCTCAGGCGTTTAGGCAAGAAAGTCTACCCAGCCATCGTTACTTTGCAGCTTTTATTAAAAATATAAATATTAAACATTCTCTTACACAACAAAATCGACCGAGCGCTGAAAAGATGTTTTATTGTGAAAACGTTTTACAGGAAACGAACGAACAAACAAACAAACAAACAAACAAAAAGTGGATTTAAAGTAGCTTACAGAGATTCCCCCTCCCACCTCCCTGCCCCCCAGCAGAAAAGTTATCTGTCTCCTTGGCACCGTTTTCTCCCGACGCTCCCACATCCCTAACGCAGCGATGGCACTAGAACAACTGGGAAATGGAGAAATAAATAAAGGTAGGGGAGGTTACGAAGGGACACTCGTGTGTCTGCACTTGGTACACGGTTGTGCATGCGAGTCGAGGGGACGGAGGCTGTTCGGAGGACACCCTTCTAGGTTTAAAGCTATATAAAAATAAAGAGATGGCATCAGAGCAGCACGGATGGTACATCGGACGGTTGTTAGTTAATTAATTCTCCTTGTGCTAACGGGCGGAATCTCTTTGGCAAGGCGGGGAGGGGCCGCTTCACTTCCCGATTATCTCCATCAGTTTCCTGTTGCTGTGGGCTTGCTGGGCCAACTGCTCGGCTCGGGCCATCTCCAAGACTTCTCGCAGGAGGTGGAAAGTCAGGTCCAGGGAAATGGGGGGCTCCTCGGATCTCTTCTCCCTCTCCACGGCCTCACCCTCGGCATCCCCTTCCTGGGGGCTCCCCGGCGAGCGCAGCTGCGGCATCGCCGCCGCCCCCCGCAAAAAGTCGTTGGCGGAGGCTTCGGGCTGTAGGTGGTCGTTGCCGTTGGGAGAGGTGGAGAAAGGGCCAAGGGGTCTCTTGTTGAGGTTGCCCAGGCGCAGGAAATACTCTTCTCCCATGCGGAGCAGGACGGGCAGAGTTTGCTGCTGCTGCTGCTGTGGCGGTTGCTGGAAGAAATCTGGCTGGTGCAGAGCCCCGTGGGTGGTGGCCACCGGGTTCTTGCTGAGAGCCCTGCACTCCTGGCAGGGCAGGAGGGCCACCAGCAGGATTCCCGTGGAGACCAGCAGCGGGATCTTCATGGTCGGGGCCCAAAAAAAAGACCTGCGGGAGGGAGGCAGATGGGGGAGGGAGGGGAGATAGAGGAAGGTGATGGTGGTGGTGGTTTTGGGGGTGGGGGGTTATACAGCCGAGCCGCGGTGCTGGG